AACGAGGCGTGCGACAAGAAGGAGATGTCCGCGCTGAGGGCCGCGGCAGGGCCCCTCAACCACGTGGGCCGAGAGACGCGCCCCGACCTGAGCGGCCCAGTCGCCCTGCTGCAGAGTTCTCTCCCGAAGCCGAAGGTGTCCGACCTGCTGGTAGGCAACCGCTCGGCGAGGATTGGGAAGGACTTCTCCCGCGCCAACCCCTGGATCACGCAGCGCGGCCCAGCGCGAAGGGCCAGGCGAGCCAGGTGGGATGGATCTTCATGGCCGGGAGCCTGCAGACCTGCAGCGGGCTCTGGGGGGGGACTCACCGCTGGCGTGGGGGTCGCATCGTCCGGCACGGAAGGTGCCGAGCTCCCTGGCGGCGGAGACCTTGGGAGTTGACGAGGGACTGGCGAACGGCATCTACCTGCGGAGTTTGTTCGCGCAGCTGGCCTTTCCCGGGCTGGGCGCTCGGGCCGCGCCCGAGGCCGGGCAGGCCTTTCCCCGCGCGATCGCGACGGGCAGCAAGTGCCTGTGCGACCACCTACACAATATTTCGGCGGGACCCAGCAAGGGCCGTCGCGCGGCCCTGGACATCGCCATCCTCAAGGAGAGCACGAAGGAGAGCGGAGCTGGCGTTCGGTGGGTGGACGGCAAGCGTCACCAGATCATGGGCCCTCTGACCAGGAGGAACGGATGCGCCACTTGCTCAGGGCGACCCTGCAGAGGGGTGTGTTCGTCATTGTCGAGGAGGGCAAGGCGCTCAAGATACGAGAGGCGGAGAGAGCATCGAGAGTCACCAGGATGGGAGCCTTCGGAAGACTGGCGACAGCAGCGACAGCTACAGCACCTACGAGTCTGAGCCACCCCATTCTCGCTGGACCTGTTATATCACCTAACAGCGAAGTCTGATAGGTTTCTAGTGGGGCCAAAAGAGAGCATCTTGTCCTGACGCCCCAGAGGGGGTCTGGACGGGATCCGGACAAAACCGGCAGCCCCAGGAATTCTTAGGAATCCTTAGGACTTCTTAGGAATCCAGGAATGCATTCCAAGAACACACTTTCCAGGCCACATTTTGAATGCCCGGAGCCAACTGTAGGCCGCTTCGTGTTTTTCGTGCTCCCAGAGCACCATTCCCAGGCCACATTTTGAATGCCCGGAGCCAACTGTCGGCCACTTCGTGTTCTTCGTGTTCCCACAACACCATTCCCAGGCCACATGTTGAATGTCCGGAGCCAATTGTTGGCCATTTCGTGTTCTTCGTGCTCCCAGAACACCATTCCCAGGCCGCATGTTGAATGCCTGGAGCCAACTGTAGGCCACTTCGTGTTCTTCGTGTTCCCAGAACACTACTCCCAGGCCGCATTTTGAATGCCCGGGGCCAACTGTAGCCCACTTCGTGTTCTCAATTCGTAGGCTACATTTTGATTGCCCGGAGCCAACTGTGAGGCTGAGGCTGAGGCAGGCTGAGGCTGAGGCAAGCTGAGACTGAGCCTGAGGCAGGCTGAGGCTGAGGCTCAGGCTGATGCGGGCTGAGGCTAGGCTGACGCTGAGGCTGAGGCAGGCTGAGGCTGAGGCTGAGGCTGAGGCAGGCTGAGGCTGAGGCTGAGGCAAGCCGAGGCAGGCTGAGGCTGAGGCTGAGGCCGAGGCAGGCTGAGCCTGAGCCTGAGGCTGTGGCTGAGGCAAGCTGCGACTGAGGCAGGCTGAGGCTGAGGCTGATGCAGGCTGAGGCTGAGGCAGGCTGAGGCTGAGGCAGGCTGAGGCTGAGGCTGAGGCTGAGGCTGAGGCCGAGGCAGGCTGAGGCTGAGGCCGAGGCAAGCCGAGGCAGGCTGAGGCTGAAGCTGAGGCAGGCTGAGGCTGAGGCTGTGGCAGTGGCTGAGGCTGAGGCAGGCTGAGGCTGAGGCTGAGGCTGAGGCAGGCTAAGGCTAAGGCTGAGGCTGATGCAGGCTGAGGCTGAGAGGCTGACGCTGAGGCTGAGGCAGGCTGAGGAGGCTGAGGCCGAGACAGGCTGAGGCTGAGGCTGAGGCAAGCCGAGGCAGGCTGAGGCTGAGGCTGAGGCCGAGGCAGGCTGAGCCTGAGCCTGAGGCTGTGGTTGAGGCTGAGGCTGAGGCAAGCTGCGGCTGAGGCAGGCTGAGGCTGAGCTGAGGCTGAGGGCTGAGGCTGAGGCTGAGGCTGAGGCAGGCTGAGGCTGAGGCTGAGGCCGAGACAGGCTGAGGCTGAGGCCGAGGCAAGCCGAGGCAGGCTGAGGCTGAGGCTGAAGCTGAGGCAGGCTGAGGCTGAGGCTGTGGCTGAGGCTGAGGCAAGCTGCGGCTGAGGCAGGCTGAGTCTGAGGCTGATGCAGGCTGAGGCTGAGGCAGGCTGAGGCTGAGGCAGGCTGAGGCTGAGGCCGAGGTAAGCCGAGGCAGGCTGAGGCTGCGACTGCGAGAACAGCAAAATTCTACAACTGGATTCTCACCTGAATCTTAAGGGGAATGCTTCCAGATATGCTTCTACACATCGCTGTTAGATTGCTTTGCCGGGATAATACCTTGTTTCATTTCGAGACGCTACGCACGAGACGAGGTCTCAATCTCCATGCTTGAACTGTTCTTAGGTTGCGGAGGGGAGCTGGCTACAGGTGTCTTGGCATCTAGAGTCCTGGGGCGTGCAACTTTCCCTGGAGTGCTTCTAGAGGCTACCTGGAGATGCCAGACACTCAGCCCCTTCCGTAACCTTTATTTGACTCAAGCAGGGGTTTCGGCCCCTTTGGAGGCGGACGCGTGTGCCTGAGCTGATACCGACAAGGACGGATCGAGAAAGCTAGCGCTTCTTCCCGCTGCTCCACCGCACTCGGTGCAAGTAAGCATGGCCTCCCAACGCACCCGACCATTCTCCATCCGCGTCGTTGGCCAGTCCCAGACCCTCGCGCAGCGTGAACATAAGCACGACGGGAGGTTTGCGGACGGGGCTAGGACGAGGATCCTGGCTGCTACGGTGTGCCCGTTGTGAAACGCAACGCGTACCGTGTTCAAAACGTCCGTGTTGACACGTTGCGTGTGGGTTCGTCATGTTGTGGGCCACATTTTGGCGAGCGTGTGGCGCCAAACCTACGTTTTCAGTCTACGTGTCGAGTTCCGTGCCGACACGCTACGGGCTGCGTGTTGCGTGTGGGGGCAGCTAAGACGAGGATAGATCCGTTGCAGAGCGTTCCCGAACGCTATCAGAGTGTGCCAGAACGCTCCGAGAAGGCCGCGGCGCCCGATACAGCCTGCAACGTCGCCGGATCTCCGAGATTTCCAGTTCATCCTCGCACGATGTTTTTTTCGCCCTGGCTTCGTCTTAAGTTTGTTGCCGAGTTCCGTCCCCGGGGGCCCTCAAGAGACAGCTCAGGATGAAGAGTCCGCCCTGGGGAGTCTGTCGAGGACTGAGGGTCGACGATGTGAAAGCATGACGTCGGGGGTCTGGGCTCAACCCGTCCTGCTCCTCGTCGTGCTCTTCGCTCGCTCCCCTCTTCGACAGTGCGCCTCGTCATGCGGGCAAAATCCATATCTGTCCGTATCCTCTGCGTCTTGGACTCTCTGGGAGAGGCGCTCATAGGCCGAGGCGCAGTGGATATCAATAATCCGGCGTCTAAGGGCCAAATGCATATCAGCATCCACTTTGCCCTCGGCTTCTGGGGACGGGAGCCCGAAGCTCCAAAACGCAGTGGCAGGAAGGGCGGGCCCAGGAGGGAGCCGGCCAGGGTCTTTCGCCCGCGGGTTTGGCTGGACACTCCACCTGCCGCTGCACACGCACTCGACGCCCCCACTTCGTGCTGGCACGCCTCCACTGCCATCCCTTGCGGCTCCCTCCTCCTGCTCCTGGCGAAACCAAGCGGTATCGATACCGCCACTCCCCAGGCCTCTCCCGGGGTGCGGTCCGACCAGAATGTCGAGGCGAATCCAGCGGTGGCGACGAGGGCCTCCCAGGAGGCCGAGACCGGCGCAAACGGGCGAAGGGCAGCGGCATGGGTGTACCTTCTCCTCCTCTGAGCTCCATCCGTGCCCCTCCGCCTCGTCAGCTCGCAGATGTGCTTCGCGGCCTGCGTGCGCCGCCTCTTGCTCCCCTCCCTCCTCCTCCGCGGCAGTCTCCTCTGGTGCATCCCGCCCGCTCGTGCACGGTTCGCCCGGCAGCGCCCTCTGCTCGGGCCACGGGCGCGGTGTGCGTTCGCCACCGTTGCGACCCAAAAGTTCCCCTGGTCCCACGCTTGGAACATGTTTCTATCCCTATCTGCTCGGCATCACCTTACCTCGGTGCCGATCTTAAGGATTCCTCCAGTTTCCGAGGGCTGCATCCCTAAGATCGTCAAGGCCTTGGGCTTGCCGGTCTTAAGGATAGGGATCAGCTCGAGACTGGTGAATCCCCTCCTCCTCCCCCTCCTCCTCCTCCTCCTCCTCCTCCTCCTCCTCCTCCTCCTCCTGGCTGGGCCTCCCTCCTCTCGGGTGGGCCCCTCCTGCGATCAAGCCGCTCCATCGGGGGTGCCCACACAGCGCGATCGTCCGCTCTCCCTTTGCCTCCCTCCCCTCGTCCGGTCGCCACTGCATCCTCGGCTTGCTGTGCAGACCACGGCGCATAGCACGAGTCGGTCTCTTGCAGGTCGGCTCGTGCAGTTCTCCCGGTTCTCCCCGAGCGGCCTTTGGATCCGCGAAGCAGTGGTGCCACCCGCGGAGTGCTGCGAGGCATGAACATAACGGTCACGCCACAACCACCCCCACACCCCCAAGGTCCGGCCTGATCTGGAGGAGGCATGGCCGGATCTGCAGGAGGATGATTTCATTAATACCTCTGGATAGCACCGTGAAGGAGCTCAATAGACTGATAGGGTGAGTGGCCATGGCCGCCCCGCGCAGGCCGCTCATCGGCCCGACCCCTTGCAGGGACGACGACGACGACGACGACGACGACGACGACGACGGCGACGACGACGACGACGACGACGACGACGACGACGACGACGACGACGACGACTCGCGCGTCGTTCGTTCGTTCGTTCACCCCCCCAGGTACGGCGGCGGCGACCGGACGCGCAGCCCGCCCCGGAGGAGCTCGCCCGCGGCGGCAGGCCCGGATCGGGGCATCAGCAATATTTCATGAGATCCCCTTACTTCTGTTGCATCGTCGGGGGACCTTGTTCGTCCCATCGCGCCCCGATCCGCGTCGGATCTGGGTCGAATCCATGTCGGAATCGTCGAAGCCGCGTCGAGTCCGTGTCGAATCACGCCAAATCCGCGTCGAGCCCGCGTCGGGCGCAAGACAAGACACCAAGTTTGGTGACAGATGAGGTCCCCCGAAGGCGCAACGTAACTTTTATCGCCTCTTCGCGTAGTGAAAATAAAAACGACGGCCAGCTTCTGCCTAGGCCTTCCAGAGGGGGACCGAGCGGATAGGGTCGGAGGATCGCGCTGCATCGTCGATACATCGCCGATGGCGCCGCCGATGCGGCTCGATGTGGAGCTCGATTTTCCCCACGCCGACGGCGCCGATGAATCGCCGGCGTCGCCAGTGCATCGCCAACGAATCTGCGATACTTTGCGGATGCATTTGGCACCGCTCGGACGTCTGCATCTTTTCTTGGCGAGAACCATCGAGGACCATCCTGGACCATCGAGCAAAACAAACACGCACGAAACCGAAAAATGCACGGGACATGGACGTCCGAGCGACGGCAAGTCTAGGAGGTTTCTGTTCTGGCAGTCTTCGGCCTCCTGGGGCCCTCGCCTGGCCCAGGACCGTCGGCAAAAAGGCATGCAGGGTCACAGACCTCCAGAAGTCCAGCTCGGCTGAAATTACCACATCGTCGGAGATCTGGGTAATTAGTGCGAGCCGCGATGTTAGAAAGGGAGGCTCTCCCCGTCCTGTCTCAGCACTCCTCTACAGGAGGCGTTGCAGTCTCGCTTGGTTCCGTTGCCCTCGAGTATTCGCGTGATGTGGAGACCTGCGGCGATCATGGGCCGCCCCCGCATGTCTATGATTATTTGCACCAGCGGGTCTTCATACTTCTTGGACTCGCACTTGTCATCCAGATGAGGGGCATCTCGTCTTCATAACGTGGTTCTCGCCGTATCGCAGTCGCGGGGCGTCGGCCCCGGCCACTTGCCCGCCCCGCGGCCCTGGCCTGGCCCTATGCCTCAGCATCGCGGCAGGGAGGAGGTCGGGCCTAAGGCCGTTCCAGTTCAGCTCCCCGTCTAAGCTTGCGCGGGCCTCGGTCGCCCCCTTTCCGCTCGATGGGCGCCCGCGTGGTGTCCGCCGTGGCGTCCTCGCCTCACACAGGCATCAAGCTGTACCGCTCCCCACCTGAACGTATCGTCCCCTTCGACAGACTTCCCTACACAAGGCTCTACACGATGCTGTAAGGCCCAGTGAGGGAGCTTTGGCCCCTGAAGTCGGCGGCCTCTCTTGGATTTCATGCTGCAAGGGTGTCATTTGTATTCCCTAGATTGTTTGCCGGTGCGTCATTTTATGTATACATGCAGATGTTTGGCTTTCTCCTGGTGAGGGATCTGCCCCCCCCCCTCGAAATCGGTAGCCCGTCGTGGTCCCCGATCGTTAACTGTGTAAAAGGTTGTTGGGCCTTCTGTCGCAAGGGAGCATCGTGTTTTCTAGACACGGGATGGACATATTCAGGTATAGCTATATCTCTATATATATTATGTATACATATACATGCATCTCTCTCTCTCTCTCTCTCGTTTCTCTCTCTCTCTCTCTATATATATATATATGTTTATATCTATACACATCCATTCAAACAAATCCGTAATGAGCTTTGTGGGTTTGCGTGGGCCCCCGGCTCCCCGAGCCCCCCGGAGAGCCCGAAGGCGCCTGGAGGGCCCCGAAACGGCACCCCAGAAGAGCCCCGAGACCGCCCAAAGAGGCCCCGAGGCGACCAAAGACAGCCCCGAGATGGCCCAAGACCGCCCTCAGACGGCCTACGATGCTCCCAAGACGGCCCCATAGGCCACCAAGTCGCCCCATGACGGCTCCGAGGGGACACTCTCGGAGGGCCCGAGAGGCCGAAATCGTAGATATTCCATGGGTTTCCTATGGATTATGAGATTCTCGCGCTCTCAACCGTCTGGACCCCCAAGACGGCCCAAGAGGCCTCCAGGATCGCTCCGAGACGGCCCAGGAGGAGCCCAAGAAAGCCCCAAGACAGCCCCAGAGGGGCCCCAGGGGGGCCCAAAGAGGCCCCCGACCCCCATACGGCCCCCAAGACAGCCCAACAAGCTCCAAAGAGGCCACCAAAACAGGCCAAGAGGGCCCCGAGCCTGCCCATGATGGCCCCAAGACGGCCCTGATGTTGTCAAGACATCCCCAGAGGGCTTCACGCGCCCGAAAAGAACCCCAGGAGGACCCCCAAGAGGGCCTGAAGAGGCGAAAGTCATTGATTCCACGTTTGTTGTCGATCGCACACCGCAGCGTGCTGGCATGTGCGCGCCGGAAACAGAAGCGCGCGTGGGCAAATCTCGACTCACGCAGCTCCGTGGATTTAATAGATATATATATATATATAGAGAGAGAGAGATATATATACAAGACTGCAGTGGCGCTTCGCGCCATGCACCTTGGTCTTTGAAGATTGCTACGCAGGCGGAAAAGGCAGGAAGGTCAAGCGGACACTTTAACGATAACTCCTTGCTGCCTTTTCTGGCATCGCCGTTATGATAATGTTGTTCGTTCTCCTTCATCCATGCTTATTCTCCTCATTCTCGCCCATTCTCCTCAGCTCTTTTTGCGGAGGCTCCTCGTTGGAGAGCCTCTGGGAGCCTCACCAAAGTTCTGGGCCTTCTCGAGGCCTCCTGGGCGTGTTCTGGGGGCCTCTGGGGCTTCCTAAGGCCAACCTGCCTCTAACCGCGGTCTCCCTGAACGCTCTGGTCACGATTTGGAATGGTTCGGAGGGTGTCTTGGGGCCATCTTGGGCAGCCATGGGGCTCTCTTCTCTTAAGGCCATTTTGGACCCCTGGTGTGCCGTTTTGGGGCTCTCTTGGATTGCCTGGAAGCCCTTTCGGATTGCTGTGAGGCGATTTTGGAGCCTCCCAGGCGACTTCGGACGCCCAGAAGACCGCTGTCTTGGAGCGTCGGGAAGCCGAAAAGAGGAGAACCCCAAATTCACCAAAAACATACATTAAATCAATGATTTGTCCCTCTTGTGGCCTTCTTGGAGGTGCTTTTGGAGGCCTCTTGGTACGTTTTGGAGCGATCTTTCGGAGTATGACGGCTTCTTGGAGCGCTCTTGTGTTGTCTTAGGTTCTCTGGGACGTCTCCGATAACCCCCCTGATCGCCCTAGGTGTGCTGCGAAGGCTTGGCAAAACGCCCTGCGAGGCCCGGGGGGCCGCTTCGAGGCCCGTCCGAAGGGTCCCAAAGCCCCAGATCCGGGGAGTCCAGTTTTTTTTGGGGGGGGGACGGGTGTTCCCCCCGTCCGGGCTTGCAACCATATAGGAAGAGGAATCAATTTTTATATACATGTGTATATGTATGTATGTATGTATGCATGCATGTATGTATGCATGCATGCATGCATGCATGCACGCAGGTATGTATGTATGTATGTATGTATGTATGTATGTATGTATGTATGTATGTATGTCTGTATGTCTGTATGTCTGTATGTCTGTATGTCTGTATGTCTGTATGTCTGTATGCCTGTATGTCTGTATGTCTGTATGTCTGTATGTCTGTATGTCTGTATGTCTGTATGTCTGTATGTCTGTATGTATATATATATATATATATATATATATATATATATATATGCCGGGGGACGTGGCCGAGGGGTCCCGCCCAGGGACCTCGGCGGGGCATGGGGGGCCCGGGGCCTTATTTTCTATGTTTTTATAGGGTTGCGGCCACCGGGAGCCACCAGAGCCCTGGGGGACGTTGCCGGGGGGGTCTCGCCCAAGGACCTCGGCGGGGCATGGGGGGCCCCGGAGCCTTACTCTCCTGTGTTTTTAAAAGATTCGGTTTCGGCCACCGGGGGCCACCAGAGCCCCTGGGGACGCGGCCGGAGGGGTCCCGCCCAGGGGCCTCGGCGGCGCATGTGGGGCCCAGGGCCTTCTTTTCCTTGTGTTTTGTTTTAATGTTTTCGCTTGCCCGGAGCCACCAGAACCCGAAGAGGTTGCAGGGAGCTCCAGGGGCTACTCCACCTGGTGCCCCAGGTCTCCCGCAGGCCTCCCAGAGGCATCCAGGAGAGCCCCCCGAAGCTCACACATTTGGTTTCCCCATAGTTTTTTCCACGTTTCCCTCCATGCAGCCTGTTCTGCATCCCCACGCTGCGCGGTAGCCCCAGAGGACGCCCAGACCGTCCCGGTTCGGCCCCAGACGCTCCCAACCTTGTCCCCAGATGGCTCCGCATGGGAGGATCGGCGCGCCCCAGTAGGGTCACAGAGCGGCCAGGGGCGTTCCAAGATCCCTGCGACGCCGACGATCACCCCGAGACGGCCCCCCGAACGACTTCGTCGACACGTCATGCTTCCAAGAGGCCTCACTGGAGGGCTCTCTGAGGCCTTACTCGTTGTTTTTTGTGCTTCCAATGGTTTTCCACGCTATCACTTATTCAACTTGTTCTGCACGCCCACGCTGCAAGGCAGCCCAAGAGGACGTCCAGACCGATGTGGTTCGGGCCCCTGGGGCTCCCAACCGTGATCCAAGACAGCTCCGCACGGGAGGGCACGCGCCCCCAAGTAGGCTCCACGACCCGCAAAAGTCGCTTCCAGGCCTGCGCGACGCCGACGATCGCAGACAGCCCCCCGAGCGACTTCGTCCACACGGCGTGCTTCAAAGAGGCCTCCCCTGAGGGCTCTCTGAGGCCTTACTCTCTTCTTCTTTTTTTTTGGGGGGGGGGGGAATTTTCCACGTTTCCACTCATCCAGCTTGTTCTGCATCCCCACGCTGCACGGCAGCCCAAGAGAACGCCCAAACCGATGTGGTTCGGGCCCTTGGGGCTCCCAAGCGTGATCCAAGACGGCTCCGCGTGGGAGGACCAGCGCCCCCAAGTAGGTTCCCCGAGCCGCCAGAGTCGCTTCCAGGCCTGCGCGACGCCGACGATCGCACCATGACAGCTCCCCAGGCCACCTGGCCAGCAAAAGAGGCTTCCTAGAGGCTTCCCACAAGGGCCCCCCAGAGGCTCAATTCCTAGTTTTTTTCCGATGGTTTCTTTGGGTTTCTGGCCACCCAACCCGTTCTGTTTCTCGACGGTGCAAGCTCGTCCTAGAGGTCCCCGAGACTTCCCCGCTGCGGTTCCAGAGGCTCCCAACGTTGCCCCATGACGGCGCCAAGAGGGCACCCCGACGGCTGACGCGGCCCCAACGAGGAGCCCCGAACACCCCAACACGGCCGATTAGGGCCACACGAGAGGCTTCGGGGCCTTTGCGGTCGCCAGGGGCGGTCTCGACACTGCTGATTGCGTCTCGACGTCCCACGACCGAGCCAAAGACTTGTCACAGAGCCCAAAGGACGGGGAGGAGAAGGAGGACGAGGACACGGAGGAGAGGAACGATAAGGACGAGGAGGGGGAGGAGGAGGAGGAGGAGGAGGGGGAGGAAGAGGGAGGAGGAGGAGGAGAGGAGGAGGAGAGGAGGAGGAGGAGGAGAGAGGAAGAGGGAGAGGAACAGGAGGAAGAGGAGGAGGAGGAGGAGGAGGAGGAGGAGGGGGAGAGGAGGGAGGAGGAGGAGGAGAGGAGGAGGAGGAGGAGGAAGAGGGGGAGGATGAAGAAGAGGAGGTGGAGGAGGAGGAGGAGGAGGAAAAGGAGGAAAAGGAGGAAAAGTAGGAAAAGGAGGAAAATAATGAAAAGGAGGAAAAGGAGGAAAAAGAGGAAAAGGAGGAAAAGGAGGAAAAGGAGGAGGAGGAGGATAATAATAATAATACTACTAAGAAGAGGAAGATGAATCAGAAGAATACTAAGAATACTACTAAGAATAATAGCAATGCTAATACTAATAATGATAATACGTTTAATAAGAAGAAGAATATTAAGAATAATACGAAGAATAATAATCATAATAATGATAAAACGAAGAAGAATAATATTATTAAGAATAAGAATAATAATACTAATAAGAATAATAATATTAAAAACAGCAACAATAATACTCATACTACTAATAATAATGATGATGGTGATATTAATAATAATAATAATAACAATAATAATAGTAATAATAATAATAGTAAGGGGAGGAGGAGGAGGAAGAGGAGGAGCAGGAGGAGGAGGAGGTTGAGGAGGAGGAGGAGGAGGCGCAGGATGCGGAGGGCGGACGAGCCTCCTCCTCTGCGTCGTCGTCGTCCTCCTCCTCCTCCTCTTCCTCCTCCTCCTCCTCCTCCTCCTCCTCCTCCTCCCCCTCCTCCTCCTGCTCCTCCCCCTCCGTCCCCTGATCCTCTTGCACCTCCTGGTGCTGCTGCTGGTGGTGGTGCTGCTGCTGCTCCTCCTGCTCCTCCTTCTGCTACTCATCCTCCTGCTCCTTCTCTCCCCCTTGCCCTCCTCCATCACCCCCCCTCCTCCTCTTCCTTCTCCCCCTCCTGTTCTTGCTCCTCCTCCTGCTCCTACTCCTGCACCTCCTCCTTTGATGGTGCTCCTCCTCCTCCCTTGCCCGTCCTCCTCCTTCTCCTCCCTCTCTTGCTCCTCCTGCCCCTGCTCTTCCTGCTCCTGGACGTGGGGCCCTGGGGCCGCACTCTCGGGGCCGAGGAGGGGTCCAGAGATCGTGGGGGATTCCAGGGGCCGAAGATGGGTCCAAATGCGTCAACGCGGGTCCCCGGAGCCAGGGGTCCACAACCCAGGGTCCGGAATCCATCAAGGGCGGACGAGAAGGAGGAGGACGACGAGGAGGGGTAGGAGGAGGAAGAGGCCAGGGAGGAGACGAAGGCGAGCGAGGACGAGGGCGAGCACGGAGACAAAGGGGCGGGCAGCAGGGGCGGAGTCCGGGCAATTCTCTGTTGGGCCTCGCGTTTCGTTCCCCACTTCCTGGGTACCGCTCCGGTTCGGTCTGTATCGGTCTGATTCGGCTTTATTTGGTCCACAAGCGATCTTGGTTCGGTTCGGTTCGGGTCTCTCCCGCGACCATTCCAGTTCGGTTCGATTCGTCTTGGGGGCGACGCTGGTTCGCGGCAGTTCGATTCAGCCTGGTTCAGTCCAGGCAGTGCTGGAACCTTCCTGCAATGAAACATTGCGACGGAGTTACGCCAGGAAGGAGGCAGCACAGTACGAAATTTCCAAGGCTCCAGGAGGGTCGGCCGTCGGGACCCTCTGGAACGAGATCCGCTGTCGATGGTACTGCTTGTCGTGGCATCCTTTGACGCCGTGATGCCGTGACTGGAACCTGTGCACGCGCGTAGCTCGCGTGGATCTAGTATATATATAGTCATTTATACATGCATACATACGTACGTACGTACGTACATGCATGCATACATAAATGTGTGTATTTAATGTATGTGGACGCTTGTAAATGGACAGAGACATTCAAGCATGCTTGCCTAAACCAGCATCGCCCCCTTCACCTCTGACAGCATTCCAATGAGGTGCGCGTGCGCTGCTGTCGTGTGCGCGCGCGCGTGTGTGTGTGTGTGTGTGTGTGCGTGTGTGTGTTTCTGGTGTCTGTGTGTGCGTGCGTGCGTGCGTGCGTGCGTGCGTGCGTGCGTGCGTGCGTGCGTGCGTGCGTGTGTTATGTGTGTTGTGTGTTGTGTGTGTGCGTTGTGTGTGTGTGTGCGTGTGTGTTTGTGTGTTTGTGTGTGTGTGTGCGTGCGTGCGTGCGTGCGTGCGTGCGTGCGTGTGTGTGTGTGTGTGTGTGTGTGTGTGTGTGTGTGTCTGTGTGTGTGTTTCGCCATCCCAATCGCAGAATACCATGCGGGCCACGTCCCATCGTGGCCCCCCAGGCGATCGCCGAAGAGTGCTTGGGAATCCTGGATTAGTGTAGGTGTTGGTCCGTAAAACAGTTGCAACCCATTTATCGTTCACAGTTGCTGCATGCGTTTTGGGGCACTCCACTGCGTACCTTAGGAGTCGGCGGCGGATACAGAAATTGGATGACCTCATTCTCGTCCTCTTCTTGCCGTCTCCTTTCAGTCCCCCATCTGAGGCCCGCAACATCCAAGGCAACAACATCAGTCCAATTCATTCGGCCTGCCGGGGACACCTGCCTTCAACCTCCAACCAGGGGAGCCCTTAGCCATTCTCGGGCGGGCGCCGACTATCCACCGCAAGGCCATCCTGGGCCAAGGACGGGTGCATGTCTACGCCCGTCAAGCCTGGCCAGGGAGGTAGTACAGCGATCGTGGGCCTGGGATCCGGCCGTCACGGCCAGGATCGGCGAGGGGGATTCCGATGGCACGTAAGAGGGACCATTCGCCAGAGTGATCTTTTCGGCCACGCGCAGAGGAGGGGCAGGGGAAGGGGGAAGGTTTCTCAGGAGCGCCCCAGCTTCCGAGAAGGCGCGGGCCTTCTCTATCGATGTAATGCGGGCTCCTTCTAGGAAGCAGCCTCCCTCTGAGCAGCCTTCCCCCCTCCCCCTATCCCCTCCCTCCAAGGTCGCGGGTCAGGGTCTTCAGGGGTGTTTTTGTTGGGGGTCTCTTTGGGGTGCTTCGGGTGCCCTCTCAGGGCAGCGGCAGGCGCAGGGTCCTTGGGGGCCGCGTGGGAGCCTCTGGAGACCAGGTGTTTTTTCCTTCTAATGCAGGGTTCCCTCCCAGGTCGGGCGCGGACATACACGTCGCATGTGCACCTATCGCTATTTCTGCTTATCGGACAAACCTAATCCAATGTCCGGGTCCATGAACTTCCAAACCACTGAGATAGTAGGTCATGGGACGATCGTAGAACAAGACCATACACCAATCAGAACGGTGGAGTCTTCTGGTCATCAGGCAAATCCCCTTCCATGAGTGAGCACAACCCTTTTTGCCGCAGGCCCCGGGGGCAAACGCGGTCCTCCTCGTGCCCGGGCCCCTCCCGCCGCCAGGGGGGGGCCGCGCGCCCGGCGGCCGGGGCCTCCGTGGCCAAGGGCCGCCGCCCAGGCGCGCCCGCCGGGGGGCCGACGGGGCGCGGGAGGGAGTCTGGGGGGCCCCCACACGGTGTGGTGACCAGACCGCGTGGTGAGTCAGGTTCTCAAGCAGTGGCGAAGCGTCCTGGCTCGCCTTGTAGGCCTGCCAAGCAGTGTTCTGGGAACTGTTCGTGGTTTGCACGGAGTGTTCTTAGAACATTTCTGGCTGAGTCTGTTCTGCTTTAACACATCAGGTTTACGTTCTAAGAGCATTGCCTTTGTTCTAAGAACACTGTTGGGTTCTTGGCAGATTTCGTGGTAGGCCTATAGGAATGCCGGGACGGTCGGTCCCTGCTCAAGGTTCTGTAATTTTCACATGCGTTGTAGGTTCTTTACGTTCTGTCCAGCTTCGGGGTGCTCTCCAGCAGCTGCGCCTCGCCGGGAGCTGCCCTGGGGTGTCTGGAGATCGTTCCGGAGGGGCGCCCGTCGCCCGTGCTAGGGCCTGGAAGCCACCAGGCGTCGGGGACCCCCGGGCGGTGTAGCAACCACACGCCGTGGTGAGTCAGTGGGGATCCCGGGTCTCAGGCGATCGCAGACATGGATCAAGGGAGCGTGGATTAGCGACGGGTCCCGTTTCCATGGTGAATCGCGGATTTCCGCCGCCGAGCGAGGCGGCACCGGCCGCTTTTTGGGGAGGGCACATTCCCCGATCCATGTTTGCGCGCCCCCGAGGGTCGCCGCACGGCTTTGGGACCTTCGTCATTCTCCGAGGGTGTCTCGGGCGACCGGGGCTTCCGAGGCTCCAAGGCTGCGCGGTGACGGACCGCGCGGTGGGGTCTGTGGTGTTCCGAGGTCACTACGCGGGCGCTTCGACGGTCTCGTTAGGCAGCGTTTCAAGATTTTGGAGAGCGGCAGTGATCGCCCCCTCGTATCACCCCTCCCCCACATTCAACCCATTGAATTCGCAGAGTAATGAACGCGATCGGGCTAAAAAATTGTTGGCGGCGGCGCATCCTCTTCGATCGGGCAGCTTACGCTACCGCCCGGATGAGATCGACCTCCACTGGCCTTGAACTGAAGTGTCCGGTGGCAGCGTTGCCCGACACCTCAGAAAAGCTAGACACGTTAGCCCACAATGGTTTCTCCTGTTGAGGGATGGAGGCCGCGGGTGGCCTTGTCGAGCTTTCGACGCTGCTCGTTGCGAGTCGAGGCAACGACCGAGGATGGAGGAGGGGGGATGGGCTTAGTTGTTCTTAGAAGCGCTGCTTCTTCCCCGCATCCCCCGCCCAGACAGCGCTTCGTGGCCCCATAGGGAGCTCCACCGAACGCCCCAGTGACAGGGCGCATGCGTCTCCTCACCCACCACAGCGCTTAAGGCCCAAATGTCTGGGTTTACATGCGTCCACCCCCACCCAGTACAGCGCTTCGTGGCCCCATGGGGAGCTGCACCGAAGGTACCAGTGACAAGCTTTACGTACTTTTCACCAACTCAGTATAGCAATTCGTGGCTCCATAGGGAGCTCCATTGAAGGCCCCAGTGTCAGGGTCCACATGCGTCTCCCCACCCAGTACAGCGTTCCGTGGCCCATAGGCAGCTCCACCGAAGGCCCCAGTGGCAGTGTCCACACGCGTACCCCCCACTCAGTGCAGCGTTTGGTGGCCCAGAAGAAATTCCACCGAAGGCCGCAGTGGCAGGGTCCACATGCGTCTCCCTGCCACACTTCGGCATCCCACCACCATTACGGCACACCCCTCACGCGTTCCGTGGCCCCATGGGGCCCGCATGGAGCTCCACCCAAAGCGGTCACCACAGCGCGTATTCACAGCTGCATGCGCTTGGGCACTTCGACCGTATAACTTATAGGAGAAGGGGAGGGGGGAGGAGAGAGGAGACCACCCCCAGAGCGAAACGAGCGCATCCCCTACCCCTCCCCCAAAAAACGGAACACCCCCCCTCCCTCCCTTCAAGGCGAAACGAGCCCTCCCCCCTCCGAAAACAGAACAACCCGCCCCCGTTCCCCTCACAGCGAAACTACCCCCCCCCCCCCGAAAACGGAACAACCCCCTCCCCCTTTCCCAGAGCGAAGCTCAAGCGAGCTGAAAAGTTTGCGCTTTTTTGGATTCACACGCTGGATCAGCGGACGTACGTAGGGGAGGGGAGGGAGGACAGGAGGCCCCACCTCTCGGGGGTGGACAGACCTCCTACCCTGACACGTCGATGAAGGAATTCTAGACGCTTCGCGTATCCCCACCAGCCCATCCAGAAACGACGCCCAGGCGAGTAGAGGGTCGTCCTGAGGGGCTTTTCGGCGTCTTGGGTGCCTTGGGGGGGCCTCTTTGGGCAGCTTGGGATCCTCTTGGGGACCTCCTGGGGGCCTCTTGGGGCCTCGTGGGGCCATCTTGGGGCCTCTTGGGGCCTCCTTGGCGCTTCTTGGGGCCATCTTGGAGGACATCGATCAAAGAAGAGGGGAGCTTCAATTAGGGTTGCCCCCTCAGCAGGCCAAAACGGGGCCCAAACCATAGTAGAATCAATGATTTCGGCTCCCTCGCCGAGGCCCTTTTGGACGCCCTCACCGCTCGCGGCCCCCCCCGTCCAGGTCCACGGGGAGGGGGTAGGGGGAGGGGTCAAGACTCCCTCCCCGCCCGCAGGCCGTTTCGCTCACTCCCGCCCGCCCTCCCCACACATACGTAGCACCCGAGTCTGGCCCGAGCCTCAGCATGTTCAGCAGTCGTCTTTGGATGGGCAGCTACTGGGGGCCAATCCGCCGCCGCCGCCGCCGCCGCCGCCGCCGCTGCCCGCCGCCGCCCGCCGCCGCCGCGCCGCCGCCGCCGCCGCCGCCACCGCCTGCCGCCGCCGCCGCCGCCGCCGCCGCCGCCGCCGCCGCGCCGCCGAGGGGGTGTGTGTATCAATAGGGAACAGTGATCAAGCCGTCCCTCACTCCCACCCGCCCTCCCAACACATACGTAGCACCCGAGTCTGGCCCGAGCCTGAGCATATTCAGCAGTCGTCTTTGGATGGGCAGCTACTGGGGGCCAATCCGCCGCCGCCGCCGCCTCCGCCGCCGCCGCCGCCGCCGCCCGCCGCCGCCGCCGCCGCGCCGCAGCCGCAGCCGTTGCCGCGCCGCCGCCGCCGCCGCCGTCGCCGCCGCCGCCGCCGCCGCCTTCCGCTGCCAAACCGCCGCGGCCGCCGCCACCGCCACCGCCGCCGCCGCCGCCGCCGCCGCCGCAGCCGCCGCAGCCGCCGCAGCCGCCGCAGCCGCCGCCGCCGCCAAGCGTACTATGTATTGTTTTTGACAGGGATGGTGGGGGGTGGGGCGCGCCGGGTTGGCTGCGCATGTTCCGAATTTGGAGGCAGAGTGTGGTTTGCATTGTATTTTACCAGGAATGGTGGGGGGTTGTTATCATGGGCCCTGGTTGCCCCCCAGTCGCCTGGGGGAGGGGGTGTTTATTGATAGGGAACAGTGATAACCCCTCCCCGACGGGGAAGAGGGAGGGGTGGAAGAGGAAACGCCCTAAACCACCGACGCCCAGAGGGCTGGTGGGATTGGCCGTTTTCGGTTCGCGAGAAGGCGTCGCGGCCGTCATTTTTGCGGGTCCAGGTCCGTCGGTTTCGGTCCCAGGTCGTTCTCACGAACGGGAGGTATATTAAAGGGAGGTTTGTCCACCGCCGAACCTCCCCTCGCCGTGAAGCAAGACACCGGGGCGGACGATTCGGGACAGCTTTCCAGGCGTCCGAGGGTCCTTCGCCCGGGCCGCGAGACCGCCGGAGAACCGGTCGGGGTGCGAAGTTGCTGTCTCGAGTGAAGATCGCAAATTTGAACATCTACATTACCAGTGACGGGCTCTCTTTCAATCCCAGGATTTTTTGAGGGTCGGGGGCGACGTCGCGGTGGTGTGGTGTATATATTTTCCCCCGTTTCCCAAGTGAAACAACGAAACATGTAGACACCAAGACCCCATCAACACCAGGACCCGCTCTCTTGTGAGAGTTTCAGCGCAGGGCCGGCAAATGCGTCGGTGTATAGAGTTCGGTTCCCCTAGAAGAAGCATCGACTATGCGTCAGAGTGGCCCTTCGCTTGGGTGACCGTTGGTGCGGGCACATCTGGGTCCCCCGATAGTATACCCATCGGTCGTTGAAAGTAGGTATTGTTGGGTTCCCAGAACCCAATTTGCTTCAAGCGCCTTCCTGCTTCAATAATCAGTATGCTTTTGCTTATTAATCTTTGGGCGGGCCCGAACCCGATCTGCTTTATCTGCCTTCCTACTTAATGCTTCGATATACTTCTTCCGACCGGTGTGTAAGAGTGACCCTTCGCCAGAGTGACCGTTGGTGCGGGCATATTGGGCCCCCCGATAGTAGCGTGTTGCGCGCTTGTGTGTTTGGTCCTCCCGCGGCCCCCACAAAATCCGCGCAACGAAGGTCACTCTTACCCAGGGTAGGGTCACTCTCGCATGTAGCCGAAAGCACGGGGACCACGACCAAGATGTCGCGGGATGTTGTCGATGCGACCCTGCTCATGGTCCGTTTCGGCCGTCGCCGATTCGCGAGGACGATCCACAAAATGACGACCAAGATGGACGGTGACCCAGATCGGCACGGCGTTCCCGCGTTCAGTCTCGGTCGTGGTCCCACTTTTCTTCCCTCCAGTTCTCGGGGACATCTGGGGGTCATCGCTGCGGAACAGATCACGACGCGGGAGTTCTGGGGAGGAGAAGCAGCGAGGGTTCTGGGGATGGGGATGACGGGTGGGAGGAGGAGGGAGGAGAAGGGCAAACAAGATCTCCGAAGCTTTGTGTGCTACTCTCCATCTCCTAAGATGGGTTTCTTGTTATGACTCGGACGCCGCTGACTCCAGAGAACCAGAGAGAACACACCTACTCATACACATACTTACGCATACTCAGACCTACTCATACCCTTACCTCCTTCTCATGGTCTGACTTACTTAACACACACACAACATGCAGGCCTACTCATACTCAGACTTACTCATGCTGGGACTCCTTCATACCCAGACGTGCTCATACCCAGACTCGTTCCCAGACCTGCTCATACACAGACTTACTCATACTCAGACCTAAACATACTCAGACCTTCTCATAGTCTGAGTTACTCAACGCACGAAGTGAGACCTATTCATACTCAGACCTAGTCATACTCAGACTCGCAAGGGGGGCCGCCAGGGGTGTTTTCACGGGCCCGTTCCCTGCCAGTTTGTGGGGATGTCTCAGGCGGTTTGCTGGTTTTCATGCCCAACATCCTTTGCTTTCAGAGCAGATTATAAGGATGTCTCAGGCGGGGCGCTGGTTTCAGCGCTCCTAAGGGGAGCCGCCGGGGGTGTCTTCACGGGCCCGTTCGCGGCCAGTTTGTGGGGATGTCTAAGGCGGTTTGCTCGTTTTCATGCCCAGCATCCTTTGCTTTCGGAGCAGATTGCAAGGATGTCTCAGGCGGGGCGCTGGTTTCAGCACCCGTATGGGGAGCTGCCAGGGGTGTTTTCACGGGCCCGTTCACGGCCAGTTTGTGGGGATGTCTCAGGCGGTTTGCTTGTTTTCATGCCCAGCATCCTTGGCTTTCAGAGCAGATCTTGAGGATGTCTCAGACGGGGCGATGGTTTCAGCACCCCTAAGGGGAGCCGCCAGGGGTGTTTTCACGGGCCCGTTCGCGGGTCGGGCCCTCGCTTGAGTTCCCAGGGGCCGTGACCATCATCCTCGTCCTCTTTCATGTCTCTGCTGGGCCCCGTCCTGGGTAATGCGTGCCTAAGGCCGCCGTTGGGGGCAAGGGGGCGCCAGCTTCGGGCGTAGCCCCGAGAGCCAGCCCCGCCCCGAGCTTGAGCCCCCTTGAAGGGTTGTTCATCCGAGGCTTTGTATCTCTGCCAGCTGAGAGTCTGTTCACGTTCATCCCCCCTTCCTATCTCCCCATCATCATCCTGCTGCCTCCTCCCGCCTGCTTGGGAGGGCGGAGGGGTGGGATGAAGCGAAGGCGTAGGTAGGATGGCGAGCAAGGGAGGGTGGGTGTAAACGGCAGGAGGGAGCAGGGCGAGCATAGGAGGCAGGAGTAGGAGGAGGAGGAGGAGGAGGAGGAGGAGGAGGAGGGAGAAGTCACCTCGCCCACTCGCTCCCGCTTCACATCTTGAGGAGTCCGTCAAGGTTTTGATGAAGGGGTGGGTGGCTTGTCTCATCTCACTCGAGGGCTGTGTGCTAAAGGCAGACTGGCGACATTGCAATCCAGCGATGCCTGGACTTTGTTGCCTGCCCACGTGCAGTTGCGGTCGCGCGCAGGCCCACTGACGCCGCGGGCAGACGGCCCCCATGGTCTGGCAAAGGAAGAAGAGGCGGAAGAAGGGAGGAGTCAGAGTCAAGGAAGGGGGGAGTGTAGGAAGAGGCAAGCGACAAAGCTGGCGGCGAGGCAAGCGACAAAGCTGCCCATGCCGCGCTGCTCCGGCTGCGACGGCTGCGCTCCTTGCGCCATGCCGCGAGCCGCTGGGGCCTCGGCTGCTCGGTGCGGCGCTGGCTCCAGCACGAGACGCCCTCGATCGCCGCTGGGACTGAAATCCGCGACCTCGGAGTCGTCGCGGTCGCCGGCAAACTGCGCAAGCACCCTGTGGCCGCGGTGCGGGTGCAGCTGGTCTGCGGCCGTTTCGCGCGCATCCGCCGCCTGCCCGTGCCCTTCCACTGGCTGTGTTTGATGGTGGCAGCCGCTGGCACGGCCGCGGGCACCTATGGTTCCTCGTGCGGTCGCCCGGCCGCGTGCGAGCTCGAGCGGCTGCGGCGCGCTGCTTAAGGCTGCCACCGGCCATGGGCCCAGGGCGGCCGCCGAAGTCGTGTTCGGCGTGCTCAGCCCTACGTGGCGCTTGGACCCCAAGGCGGTGGTGAGCGTCGCCCCCGTGCTGCAGGGTGCGCGGGCGCTCTGGGCCGGCCAGGTCGACCTCGCCACGTGGCGCAACACAGCTGCCGCAGTCCACGCCGGCGCTGCGCTCGCCGTTGGGCCCGTCGCCGCGGCCTTGCGCAGCCTTCGCGAGCTGGGCCTGGGAAGCGACATGGAGCGCTGGGTTGGCGTGCCAGCGGCGCCGCACGGGTGGCTTCTAGCGGAGCACTCGCGGCGGGCTACCGAGCGTGTCGTCCTGGCGGCGTGGCGCGGGGCCGAGTGTCGGAGGTTGGCGGCGCGTCGGCCGTGCTTCGCCCACTTGGCTAACGGGGCGGACGTGTGGGCCACCCGCCGCCTGCTTGCTGCCGTTGCGCCCCGTGGTGGGCCCCTTGGCGGCGTCCCAGCAGCCCCGGCGGCCGCCGCGCCTGCGGCCCCCCGCTCGGCTTCGGCCGCGCCGAGGAGAGGCGCGCCGCCCGCGCAGGAATTGGCCGAGTCCCAGCTGAACTCGGCCAGCCCGCGCTCGAGAGGGGGCGCCCTGCGCATGCCTCCACCCCGCCGACCCGCTGCTGGCGCGAGCGGCCTGGGGTCTCCGGGCCGAGGGCCTCGCAGAGCCCAACCTCGCTGGCCCGGTCGACGGGCTCCAGTCGGCGCAGAGGGCCGAGGTGACGGCCGCGGTGGCGGCGGCTCGCGTAGTCGGTGGCCCCGTCGACCTCGCTTCGGACAGCCAGTACGTAGAGCGGGCGTGCTCCCAGATCGAGGCCGGCGCCGACATGCGGGACTGGGAGCACGCCGACCTGTGGCACCTGCTGGAGGACGCCGTGCGCAGCGGCCGGCTCCGGGCCTGCTGGGTGCCAGCCCACAAGACGCCAGCGGAGGCGCGCCACCTGGGACTGAGCGAGAGGGACCGCCTCGGCAACGCGGCGGCCGACGGCAACGGTGGCGCCGCCGCGGCGAGCAGAGCGCCGCCGCCAGGCGCGGTGCGCGCCCGCCGCCGGGAGCTGGAGCTGCTGGGGGGCCGCGCAGCGCGTAATGGCTGCCGCGCAGCAGGCCGCCCTAGCGGCGGCGCCGCCGGCAGCGCGCCGCCGTCGGCGCGACTGGCGCTGGGTGCGCCGCTGGGCCCGGGCCGCCCGCACGGCCTCCGCGCCGCCGGACGACGCGCCCGCCGGACGCGCGCTTCCGCCAGCGCCGCCGCCGCGGCGCAGCGGCGCCGACGACCCCGTCCGCCCAGGCGCCATGCTGGACGCCTTCTTCGCGGGGCGGTCGTGGTGGCCGCGCGCCCTCGCGCAGGGGCCTGGCCATGTCGTCTGCCTTCGGTGTGGCGCCAGCGCCGCGGCGCCTGCGGAAGTGTTGGGCCGCGCGTGCCCGGAGTGGAATGAGCGGGTGCCTGCGCGCGGGAAGGCGCTATCGGTGAACTGCGCTTCGCTGGAGGCAGCGCGGCGGACTTTGCTTGCATCGCCGCGCAGCGGCGCGCGCAGCTCCCCAAAGCGCGGGACCGATCGGCGCCTTCCCGGGCGCCCGCGGATGCGCGGGGCGCCTGCTGTCCGCTCGTCAAAAAGTAGGAAGAGGCGGCGGAGGGCGTGATAATAGCATGAACGTCTGGTAGTACCACATGTGCTCACTCAGATCCCACATGTTCAGGCCCGCCACCTTTCCTTTACTTTATGTATTATGTCACGCGTTTGGTCTGTTGTGGAGTTCTGCTTCCGTAGCTCATGTGGACCACCATGAGGTTTCTGAAGTATTTGAATGGAGGGTGTGATGTGGCTGGGTAGCAGAGATCAGAGATGTGTGCGAGGGGGCCCGTCGATAACAGCCCCCCAGGCCCGGCTACGACGAGGACCCGCGCCTGAAGAAGCTGGATGATGATCCGCGGTACTTCGAGAACGCCGAGCTCGGCAAGGCCCCAGGGCGACGGGTCTAGATAAATGGCTTGATACCTGCGTGCGGTTTCGAACTCAGGGACGGAAGGCATAGACGCCTGCCGGCTCCCCGCCCCCTTCCCCGTCCGCCAGTAGATGATCAACATATACGAATTCTCACACACTCGAGGGGGATTATGATCACCCCCGCGCCCCCGAAATCAGTGTTTGTGCCCACCCGAGCTCCTACTTTGCCGCACTCGCAGTATAGATTTGGGAGATCCGGGCGGGGGGCGAGCAACTTGCGCCGTAAGGATTTACCTTGTTGTCCAGGCGTTGTCTTTCCCAGCCACCGGTATGAAATACATATGCCAAATTGTTGTTGTTTTTTACCTAACATCGAAGACTGATAGGTTTCTAGTAGTCTCAAAAGAGAGCAGCACATTACTTCAACATTACTTCAACATTACTCCACAGGGGGGTCTGGGCAGCCGTTGGGGGCAGTTGGGGGGCAGTTGGGGGGCTGTTGGGGTTTGCCGGCGGGGATCGTTTTTCGCATACAGTCACACACTTCGTGCCCACTTCGTGCTCTTCGATTTCCCAGAACTCCATTCCCGGGCCACATTTTGGATGCCCGGAGCCAACTGTAGGCCACTTCGTGCTCTTCGATTTCCCAGAACTCCATTCCCGGGCCACATTTTGGATGCCCGGAGCCAACTGTAGGCCACTTCGTGCTCTTCTATTTCCCAGAACTCCATTCCCGGGCCACATTTTGGATGCCCGGAGCCAACTGTAGGCCACTTCGTGTTCTTCGACTTCCCAGAACTCATTCCCGGGCCACATTTCGGATGCCCGGAGCCAACTGTAGGCCACTTCGTGCTCTTCGATTTCCCAGAACTCCATTCCCGGGCCACATTTTGAATGCCCGGAGCCAACTGTAGGCCACTTCGTGTTCTTCGAGTTCCCAGAATTTCATTCCCGGGCCACATTTTGAATGCTGAGGCAGGCTGAGGCTGAGGCTGAGGCAGGCTGAGGCTGAGGCAGGCTGAGGCTGAGGCCGAGGCTGAAGGCAGACTGAGGCTGAGGCTGAAGCAGGCTGAGGCTGAGGCTGAGGCAGGCTGAGGCTGAGGCTGAGGCTGAGGCTGCTGAGGCTGAGGCTGAGGCAGGAGGCTGAGGCTGAGGCTGAGGCTGAGGCTGAGGCTGAGGCAGGCTGAGGCTGAGGCTGAGGCTGAGGCTGAGGCAAGAGGCAGGCTGAGGCTGAGGCTGAGGCTTGAGGCTGAAGCAGGCTGAGGCTGAGGCTGAGGCAGGCTGAGGCTGAGGCAGGCTGAGGCTGAGGCTGAGGCAGGCTGAGGCTGAGGCTGAGGCAGGCTGATGCTGATGCAGGCTGAGGCTGAGGCTGAGGCTGATGCAGGCTGAGGCTGAGGCCTGAGGCTGAGGCCGAGGCTGAAGGCAGGAGGCTGAGGCTGAAGCAGGCTGAGGCTGAGGCAGAGGCAGGCTGAGGCTGAGGCTGAGGCAGGCTGATGCTGAGAGGCTGAGGCTGAGGCTGATGCAGGCTGAGGCTGAGGCAGGCTGAGGCGGAGGCCGAGGCTGAAGGCAGACTGAGGCTGAGGCTGAAGCAGGCTGAGGCTGAGGCTGAGGCTGAGGCAGGCTGAGCTGCAGGCTGAGGCTGAGGCTGAGCAGGCTGAGGCTGAGGCAGGCTGAGGCTGAGGCCGAGGCTGAGGAGGCTGAGGCTGAGGCTGAGGCTGAGGCTGAGGCTGAGGCTGAGGCAGGCTGAGGCTGAGGCCGAGGCTGAAGGCAGACTGAGGCTGAGGCTGAAGCAGGCTGAGGCTGAGGCTGAGGCAGGCTGAGGCTGAGGCTGAGCAGGCTGAGGCTGAGGCAGGCTGAGGCTGGCTGAGGCTGATGCAGGCTGAGGCTGAGGCTGAGGCTGAGGCCGAGGCTGAAGGCAGACTGAGGCTGAGGCTGAAGCAGGCTGAGGCTGAGGCTGAGGCAGGCTGAGGCTGAGGCTGAGGCAGGCTGAGGCTGAGGCTGAGGCTGAGGCCGAGGCCGAGGCTGCAGGCAGACTGAGGCTGAGGCTGAAGCAGGCTGAGGCTGAGGCTGAGGCAGGCTGAGGCTGAGGCTGAGGCTGAGGCAGGCTGATGCTGAGGCAGGCTGAGGCTGAGGCTGAGGCTGATGCAGGCTGAGGCTGAGGCAGGCTGAGGCTGAGGCCGAGGCTGAAGGCAGACTGAGGCTGAGGCTGAAGCAGGCTGAGGCTGAGGCAGAGGCAGGCTGAGGCTGAGGCTGAGGCAGGCTGATGCTGAGGCAGGCTGAGGCTGAGGCTGAGGCTGATGCAGGCTGAGGCTGAGGCAGGCTGAGGCTGAGGCCGAGGCTGAAGGCAGACTGAGGCTGAGGCTGAAGCAGGCTGAGGCTGAGGCTGAGGCAGGCTGAGGCTGAGGCTGAGGCAGGCTGAGGCTGAGGCTGAGGCTGACTGCGACTGCCGTTGCCACTGCGACTGTCATCGCGAATGCGACTACGACTGCGAGAACAGCAGAATTCTACAACCGGATTCTCATCCGAATCTTAAGGGGAATGCTTCCAGATATGCTCCTACACATCGATGTTAGGTTGCTTTGCCGGGATATTTTTTTTTGCAAATCCCCACTATCCCATCCAGAAACGATGCCCGGAGGAATTGCCTAGACCAGGGAAGTGGGCAGCATACAGAGGAAGCCATTATGAGACATCTTGGGATATCTGGAGCCATATGAGAGGTCATCTTGGGCTCGCCCAGGCGCTCTTGGAGTCGTCTTAATCAGTACTCCCCCCCAAGAGGCCAACATGTGGCTAAAACCTTTGTGGGATCAATGATTTGGCATTCTCGCCGAGGCCTCTTGGAACATCTTGTGTGCCTCTTGGGGGTTCTCAGTCGGCCTCTTGGGGCTCTCTTGGGGGCCTCCTGGGGGCCTGTTGGGGGCCTCTTGGGGCCATCTTGGGGCCATCTTGGGACCTCTTGGGGCCTCCTGGGCGCTTCTTGGGGCCACCTCGGTGGAGATCGATCAAACAAGCGGGGAGTATTAATTAGCGTCGCCCCCCAGGAGGCCAAACTGGGGCCAAAACCTTTGTAAAATCAGTTTTTTCGGCTTCCTCGCCGAGGCCGTTTTGGCATTCTCGCCGAGGCCTCTTGGAGCATCTTGGGTGCCTCTGGGGGTTCTCTTGGGGCCGGGGTTCTCTTGGGGGCCTCCTGGGGGCCTTTTGGGGGCCTCTTGGGGCCATCTTGGGGCCATCTTGGGACCTCCTGGGGCCTCCTGGGCGCTTCTTGGGGTCATCTTGGAGAAGATCTATCAAAGAAGTGCGGAGCATGAATTAGCCTCGCCCCCCCAGGAGGCCAAATTGAGGCCAACACCTTAGTACAATCAATGATGTTGGCTTCCTCGCCGAGGCCGTGTTGGACGCTCTGACACCTCGCGGCCCCCCCCTCCAGGTCCACGGGGAGGGGGTCGGGGGAGGGGTAAACCCCTCTCCCGAAGGGGAAGAAGGAGGGATGGAAGAGGAAACGCCCTCAACCACCGACGCCCAGAGGGCTGGTGGGATTTGTGGTGTTGGCCGCATCGTGTGACCGTTGGTCCGCCCTGGGGCATGCGTGACAATGGAGCAGCCTGGACGGTGTGCCCTCGTTGGCCCCGAGCTGGTTGTTTCTGGCCCAGGGCCTCCCGTCGCGTCCTTTTCCTCCTTCTCACCTTCCTTCTCTTCGTATCGCCTCCTTTCCACCGGGCAGACTGCCTCTATCAGGGGAGCAAGAGGTCATGATGTTGAAGCTCTTCCATATCTGTACGGGCTACATAAACGAGGGCCACTAGATGTTGCGGAAGGCCGGGATCGCATCCTGAACCATTTGCATCGTGACATCATTATCATCCTAGCCTGGCTGTTGGTTTGTTCCCAGACTCCCGACGTCGTGTTTGCTCACATTGTTGACCCCCGGAGGTTTGGACCCCTTCTCGGGGACCAGCTTGTCGTTGCGAGCCGTTTTCTGACGGTCCCGAGGCCCGGTGAGGGCCCCCGGATGCTACCTACGGTCAGGAACTTTCGGATACCATGTCGCTCCGCCTGTTCTGGCCCACCACGCTTCGGTGCGACACGCTATCTGCGGTCCCGACGCGTCGACGTCCCGAGGCTGGGGCCGCCGCCGCCGCGACACGCGCGTGAAGCAAAAGTTCCCAACCGCGAAAGACCGTTTGTATTTTTTGTTTCGCGACGCGAGGGGGTCTGGATCTGCGCGCCGTCTACCCGAGAGGCCCAGAGGGCGGCCCTGGGCCAGACTGGCCTGCACGGCCGCAATACCGCCTCCTTCGACCCCGCGTCCACGCTGGTGCGCCCCGCGATGCGGATCTTCTACGGCCCGAAGCAGAAGACCTACGACGCCGACATCCGCCCGGACGACGTCGTCGTGGTGCCGGGCTTCTCGTGCGACGAGGAGCTGGGCCTCCCAGATGGGGTCCGAGCAGATGGGGTCGACGGGTGGGGCCGCAACGCCGATGCATCGCCGATGCTGCTCGATGTGGAGCTCGATGCATCGCCGATGCGCCACCGATGCATCGCCGATGCTTCGGCGTTGCGGCGCGGTCCTCCGACCCCATCTGCTCGATGCCCTTTGGAAGGCCTCCGGAGGACGACCTGCGGCTCTACACGGCGATGGCGGAGGAGCGGCCGCGGGGGGCGGGCGCGCCGAGCTGCTCGGTGCGAGAGCCCAGCTGTAAGCGCGACGGTGCTGGCGCCTCCGCTCCCTCCGCCTTGTGGAGGCCGCGTATGGGGGGGAGCGGTCAGTGGGGGGGTGCTGTCCTCCCCGTCCGTCGCGTCTCCCTCGCATCCAGGGGAAGCCACCCCTGTCGGTTGGTGGTTCCACCTTGAAAAGGCCTTGCGTCCCTACATGCTTCCTCGGGGCAGGGCTGGGGACGGCTTCAGGCTTACGACCCAGTCCGCCGTGAGCAGCAGCAGCAGCAGCAGCAGCAGCAGCAGCAGCAGCAGCAGCAGCAGCAGCAGCAGCAGCAATGGGGGGGGGAGGAAGGCAGCCAGGGCTGCCGAGAAGGGGCCCTTGAGGGGCCGTCGAGGGGCCCTTGAGGGGCCCAGAAGGGTCCTTTCCTTCTCGCCCGATCCTTTCCCCTGAGGGTGCAGCACCTTGTATAGTCTGATTGGTTGTAGACTGCAGGTTAAGTGGGAGGGGGTGTGGGCTCAGGTAGCCATTTTGGGTCCGTAGCGTTCGGCTCTGGCCGACGCGCGGGTGTTCCAGGGGGCCGCGGGGCGGCCATAACCACAGCCGTGCTAGTCCGCGGACTAGGTAGCGCGCCTGTGGTGCCATGGCTGTGGGCTTCCTGGGGGCGCACCTGATGATCTTGGTTACGGGCGGCGCTCTCACGGTCCAAGGGGCACTTGGCTGGCTGCCGTTCGGGCGCGGGGGACAGGAGGTCCCAGCGCCGACGCCGCCAGCCCTGCCCGGGCCGACAGCGCTGCCGGCAGGCGGTGGGGGGCGAGGCAAGGGGCGAGGACCGCCCGCCAAGCCCGCGCCTGCAGGGGGAAAGGGGCGAGGGCCGCAGGCCAAGCCCCCGGGGACGCCGGGCGTCCCACCGCCGCCGCGGTCAGGGTCGACTACAACGACCACGACCGCGGGCATCGGGCGCGTAGGCGAGGGCGAGCCCACGGGCAGCCCAGCTACGCCGGCGTACGGAGGTAACAACGAGCCCACGGGCGCGCCTGGGCAGCCGTCCGCCCCGGGAAACCGGACGGGCGATGGTGAGCCTGACCTGCCGCGTGGGCTGGACGGGTATTGGGGGTGGAGTGGTTGGGTCCCGCACCTGCCCCATTGGTGGGCTGGCCGGAACGTACCCCCACCGCCGCCGCCGCCACCTACCCCGCCCCCGGAGGCGGGGCCGGGTCCCGGTTGGGGCTTCGCAGCCTGGGTCTTCGAGTTCGTGGGCTACGGAGCGTGGGTAAGCTCCCCCGACCACCCGGGCACGATCCGCACGAGTGGCGGATGGATTGGATCCGCCGTCGACCGCCTGGGCGTTAAGATGCTTGGGTACTGGTGGGAGACCGCGGTCCTATGCTTTGCCCTAGGCATCTTCACGTTCGTGTTGGGTGCCCTGGCCTTCATCGTCAACACCGCAGCCCAGCCTATGCTGTGGGCAGCCGGGGGACTCCGCTGGGCGTGGTACCAGATTACCCGGTGCTGCCAGCGACGCGGAGGCGATGGGCCCGGCGCCCATCTTCCCCCACCCCCTCCGACTCCCTTGCTGGTGCGCTGGCGCGGGCCGGGCTTGGGCGGCGTGGTGGAGACGGAGTTCTACACAAAGGGGGTCCGCGGCCGAGGGACCAATCGGGCGTACAACCACGTGCTTCTGCGCAAGCACGGGCAGGTGGCCCGCATCAGCTGCAACTTCGCGGACCGGTACCGACTGGACCGCCACGGGCTCAACATCAAGATCGGGCAGGTCCTGGGGTGCACCAGTCGCAAGTGGCGGCTGAACCTCGAGGAGACAGGGAATGTGCATCTATGTCGTGCCGTCGAGTGCGCCTCCTGTCCAGTGGCGCATCCCATGCATGTCGACCAGTACGCGGCCATTGACCACACACAGATCGTGGACTTGGCTGAGCACGGAAAGGCCACGGCCTGCCGGGCAGTCGGCGTGGGACTCCGGAAGGTATTCGGGGTCGTCAAGTGGCTGCTTTGCTCACCCTGGTCGGTTCTCGGATGGCTGTGCCGGGGCCGGCCGGAGCCCCGCTACATCACCGACGCCACGGGCTATCGCCGCCTGGACATCGATTCGGAGAGCGAGGTGGAGGCGGAGGAGCGCCCCTGCCAAGCCGCACAAGTTGGGGTGCAGCTCGCGGGTGGCGCACGCCCCCTCCAGCCGGAGGGGTGCGGCGACCGAGGGATGCAGGAGGCTACTGTTCTGCTGCAGGAGGACGCGGAGGTGTCGGACGTCCCCCGGCCGGGGCATTGTCTCAATGCACAGGTGCACCTCTGCGCCCACCATGCGCAGAAGTATCGGTCTACCCTGATCGGCCGCAAGTGCAGCCTCCCCACTTGTCTCCGCATGGCGAAGGGTAGCTGCGGGGGGGCCCCGATGTGCGGGGAACATCTCCGACGGGACGAGGGTCACACCGTGCGCGTCGAAGCGACGGTCCAACCTGGGATCCTCGGGGGCCTGCGCCGCCGCATGCGGGCGCGGGCTCCAAGCCCCGCCAGGGCGCGCGATTGGACCGCGCACGCTGCCGATGGGGTTGGCATAGCGCCCGGGCCGGTCTACCCCCCGCCTCTACCTCCCCCCGCTGCACCGCCACCGCCCGCCGTGGCCCCATCTGTCGACGTGGGGCCCACGGGGGCGCAAGCCCTAGCCTCTGGGCCGCAGCCGCGTCGCACACGCTCCGCGGAAGCAAGGGCCAGCGGACGCTCACGGTCTGCCGACCGCGGAGCCCCGGGCGATCGGATCGCCCATCACGGGTGGCTTCAGGAGCCCCTACTCGTGAAGGTCTGCCCGATACTTCCGGGCGACCCTCGGGGAGCCGAGGAGGCGTGCGGCGCGCCCCCGGCGAGTCCTTGGTTTATTCTATTGGGAGAATGCGAGGGGCTCGACGCACGGGGCACTGGCGGGGACGCCCGACTTATCATCGGGACTAGCCTCGAGGGCGTCAGGGTGGAGGTCCCAGCCAGCGAAGTCGTACGGCACCCCCCTCCGCTGGAGGACGGGCGCTACCCGATAGATTGGATCAATCGGCTGCTGTACGAGGTCCCCCAAGGGGCTCGGGAAGTGGGGTTGCGTGTCATCGCCCGCCACATCCCGCAGGATCTGCTGGCGATGTTACGCCAGGAGCAGTGGGACGGTGTGGGCGTGGAAAGCGCGAGCGGCTGGAGGCGGCGCTACCTGACGAACACGGAGCGCCAGCAGCTGCAGCACGACCCGGTGCGCACACTCGGCCACCATCGGCGGGGCGGCGCGCAGGGGGCGCAGCCTGCGCCCGGGATGGAGGGCTTGCCCCGTCCAGCCCCCGCGGCGGCACCGTCGCGCTTGGCGGCGGCCGCCGCCGGCGTGAGCGAGGATGCTGAGGAGCCCGACCCACTCGAAATGTTCATGGATTCCTTGCGAGCCGAGGATCTCAAAGGACGGGGGGGCCAAGCGGCGGCCCTCAGTGCATTAGGTATGGCCGCGGACCTGCTCGGGGTTCCGCTTGATCAGGCGGAACGGCAGCTGCGGCGGAGGGTCGCACAGGTGGCAGCGGCGGGCCCACTGGGGTCCGACCTGGAGCGCGCCCTCGCGGATTTGGAGGATGCGCAGCTGGAAGCGCGCGCGCGGGAGCGTGCTGCGGCCGCCGACAAGGTTCCCCTGCAGGGCAGCCTCTCACGCGAGGGGTCGCGGAGTCGCTCGGCGCGGGGACGGGATCCCAGCCCGAAGCAGGGACCCCGACGCGAGCTCTTCGGGGCCATGCCCCCCATCCAACCCACGGGCCCACGACGGGGCTTGCTGGGTGATCGGGACCTGCTGGCACGCGATGGACGCGGGGGGGCCGCTCGTGGGGCCAATCCGCTCCTCGACGGGGCCTCGGTCCTTGGCCACCTCACTGGCCAGACGCCCCACGGGGGCGGCCTGGGTGGGGAGCGAGCTGGGGGTCCAGACGACGCCGGGGCGGCGGGCGCCCTGGGCGGGCTTACAGCCGAGGCCGAAGCCCAGATCATCGAGCGCCTGGATCGCCAGAACCGCCTCACCGAACGCCACGTCCTCGCCGCCGAGCGGCAGGCGCGGGCCACCGAGGGCGACAAGAAGGCCCGGGGCACCAGGGCAGGGATCGGTCGGGACGAGGAACTTGATCTTTACATAGCCCGGGGATGCAACACCTTCGTGGTTGAGGCCTGCGAGGGGATCACGGGGAAGGACTTGTTCGACTCTCTCAAGCGCATGTGTGCGCACTCCAAGAGCACGCTCAAGACGATCGGGTTTCCCTGCCTGGTTACCAACCGTGTGGCGCACGGCTACGCGGCGCTCGCCTTCGGGACGGGCCCTCACGACCTGGCGGTGGACGACTGCGTCCCCGCGCGTGACGAGGACTTCGATGGCTATCGGCTCCCTGTGGACGACAAGCTGGAGCCCCGCCAGCGGCCCGCCACCCACATGGCGACCTGGTTCAAGAGGGCCCGGTGCGAGATCCAGATGTTCGAGTCCATCGTAGGGGTCGCACATGGGGCGGAGCGTCGGCGGTCGTTAGGGTTCTTGGAGGCGGCCTTCGAGAGGGACCCCTCGGAGTTCCCAGACCATTGGGTCAAGGATCTGTGGGAAGAGCTCCGAAGCACCTGGGTCGAGGAGTTACGGGAGCTGAGGCGTCGGCTCTGCCGAGAGCTCGACACCGAGAACCCGAGGAGGGAGGACATCAAGTACATCCTACTCATGCCGGAGAACGGCTACGATTTGCCCCGAACGTTCGACCTCGGGGACCCGAACGCCTACTACCAGCAGGTGGTCGTGCCCCGGCGCAAGGCCGCACTCACGCGCCTCCTCAATGGGCAGCTGAACGCCCACCTCACGAAGCGACCGCCCAAAGCGGGAGGGAGCGAGGAAATGGGCGATCCCCGGCCCACGGCGCAGGGGGATGACAGGCCCAAGGCGGGGGCTGGGCCCCAGCCGAAGGCGGGGCCCAAGGCGGGCACCGGGGCC